TATAATTTAGGAACTAACACTGACACCCACTGGTCCTTTGGCCACTCATTCTTCCCGGCTATTTTCTCAAAAGTCCTAAATGACCTGTCCATATCGGATTCATCAAACCCGGGAACAAGGGAAGAAGCAGTAGCAGGGTTAAAAGCAGCTAGTTTCTCTCTTAATGCCACTTCTTTTGATCTAAACTCCGATGTTAAGGTGACTTCTATCTCTCTTACCTGTAGTTCTTTTAGTCTAACCTCCTGCTCCAACTTGGCCCGTTCCATCATTTCCTCATGCTCCAACTTATGCTCCAACTTGGCCTGTTCCAACTTGGCCTGTTCCAACTTTTCTTCATGCTGCAACTTGGCCTGTTCCGACCTTTCTTCAGGCTCCAACTTGGCCTGCTGCTCCAACTTGGCCTGCTCCAACTTGGCCTCCTTCTCCAACTTGGCCTGTTCCAACTCTAGTTCTTTCATTTTGATTTGGAACTCGAACCTAGCTCGTTCTAGTTCCAAGGCGTCTATTCGTTGTGTTTTTTCTTGAGGGCTAGCCAGACCTGAAGCAACTTCTGAGTGAGGAGGGGTGGTGGATAGTGGTTGAAGTTTCTTGGACATGGGCGTTAATCTGTCAACAGCGGATTCTTTTAAAACTTCATGTTGAACCAGCACTTCAATCACATGATTTTTAACATTTCCTTAGTCAGTTGCTGTGAAAATGGGATATTATAATAGTTGGCTATTTCTTTCCATTCTTTCTTCAGGATATTAACACGTAATTTAGCTACGGAAGGATTTTCAATAAAATCCTGGAGATCAAAACCTGAGGTGGCCATTGTTAAGAAAATAGGATAAATTAACTAATGGTCAAAAGATAAGATAAGTGGATTACCCTAGAAAATATCACGGCAGTGGATAACCAGAAAGTCCTGGAAACTAACCAAGTTATACCTAGGGAAATTACACTTATGATTATTGTTCTTCTGAGAAGATCCTTAGATAAGGATAAGAGACTTGAAAGAGGTAAGGCGTATTACGGCATTAATATAAAGATCCGGATTAACAAATCCTGATATACTTGAAAGAGGAAGGATGATGGCATTAATATAAAGATCCGGATTAACAACCCTGATAAATGGTATGATTGACCCTGAATGAGATAATGAGAAGAACAATAATTGAGGCTTTATAATTATGGGGTCCTGGTAGAGCGTGGCGTCCCAAGATATCACTTCACCGTAAACTAGTGACTATGGAACAACCTACTCTGGAGTGAGGGTACGGCATTAAACAGATCCGGATTCTTCCCAACACTCGATAAGACTTACTACACAACCGCCACGTGTAATAACAGGTAAGCCTTATGACACTTGGAACCTAATATCCTACGTCTGTCACTCTTACTATACGATAATACCAATATATGCACACACATATGAAGGAAACTTTAAACTACCGTAAAGCAATTGTGAACAGAAGTGACTGGGAGGAATAATTAACACTGAGTAACAAGGGAGGAAGGAATATGGTACTTAAGGTCGTGTCCTGTCACGGTCGCCATTTGTTACGAGTTGGGGATTTAGAATATAGTTATACGTCTACCCAGATCCCAACAGGTAACAACAATAAAAAAAAACAAAGACAATCGGACTATAAAAGGGTAGACAAAGGATGCGAGTTTTCGTTGTATATAATAGAGTACCATAAATCCCTTAACAAAATATTCAGCTTATAAATTACCCTTAACCAAACTTAACCTAAACATTAACAGTATATACATATTAATACAACAAACAATTTTGAAGCAAGTGGACGTGGGGGAGGTAATACAAGATACATGTACTTAAGTGAGGAGCTGAGATGGCTGACGAGTAAGGCTGAGTATTGTAGAAGACGGTAGGTAGTCACTGCACGTAGGTTTAGAGGATAGATGATTCTGTGGTCACTTCCCAGAGCCAAGTGCCTCTCCTCGAATTGGAGCTGACAAAGAAGACTTTGAGGAGGTGACGCAACCCAGGATATGGAGAAGGGAAACCTCGGCAGAATTAAGACGTCATACATGTGTCTTCTGTCCTAGATGGCGTTGCTTCGTGGTGGTGGGGTAGGGTAGATCAGGACAATAGATGGCGCTTCGTAGTGCTGGGTGAGGTTCGTAATAGAGAGATGAATGACTTAACAGTAAAGGGGTGAGGTCGTTCATTATATGTCTAAAAGTCTGGCGTGTTATAAGGGATTTAAAATGAAGAGAGAAAGAGAGAAAGAGAGAAGAGAGAAAGATATATATATATATATATATATATATATATATATATATATATATATATATATATATATATATATATATATATATATATATAGGCTATATAAAATCACACGGGAAAAGTGAAACAACGGAGCACCTTAGCTTTCGTCTTTATTCAAGACATCTTCAGAAGCAACTGGATTACATGTACAGAGAGAGGCTTAAATATACAGGGTGACCTTAAAAACATGAGGTCAGGTCATAATGATGTCATCCACTAATCCCCACACCAACACACACGTAGAGGAGCTTAAGAGAAGGGGGGTGACGTGACTAGTGAGGTCAGGCCAAAAATAAGGGACCCACTAAATAACTATCATACATCTAGATCAAAGGTTTTCAAAGCATTTTTAACCTTGGGCCACTGGGAAGTTCCTTTTGAGCTCACTTTCCAAGGATTTCAAGTGCTGAATTATTTCATTTTTGAGTGATGGGTCAAGTAGATGATCCTCTACAATCTCGTCAAGAACAATTGAGATATTTTCAAACATGGCAACATTTCCTGCACTGACTTTCCTTTGCCAGTTCTGGAGTTTGTCAAAAAATGTACGAATACAATCCATGTGGTGAAATACATTTATTTCCTTGCCGTGCAGCTTGAGATTCAGCCTGTTTAGCTGCTCAAATGTGTCTGCCAGGTACGCAAGACGTGGCTCCCACGACACCTCGTTGAAGTGACTTAGTAGATCATCCTTCCCTTTCATTTCCAGGAACAACTTAAGTTCTCCTCGAAGTTCGAACACAACATTACCGGTGGAAGGCCTTCGCACTTTGTAGTAAAAGAGGAGGGTTTCATGCTCTGAATCCATGCCTCTACAAAGGTTCTGGAAAAGGCGAGAGTTCAAATCTCCTGTTTTCACAAAGTTGACGCATTTTACCACTACCTCCAGGATCTTGCAAAGGGCATCAGGAAAGGTTTTCGCCGCCATTGCAAAACGATGGATCATACAATGAATCCCTTTGGCACTCGGAGCTACTTCCTTGACGTGTTTCTGTAATCCCGATTTCGATCCCAGCATCGCCGGAGCCCCATCAGTACAGCCTCCACAACAAATATTTCCAGGTGATCCTGTTAGCTGTAAAGAAATAAGTCAACTTTCCCATCACATCTAAAGCTGTTGTGGTAGTTTCAAGCTGTGTACAGAACAGATATTCATCCTTGATGTCACTCAAGAATACATACCTAACAAACACGAGTAGCTGTGCACAAGAACTCACACCCGTTGACTCATCCAGCTGTATTGCAAACATACCAGTTGGAGATGATTTAATCTCCTGTATCACTTGTTCCATGATATCATCTGACATTTCACTAATTCTCCGTTTCACCGTGTAGACTGACAAGGAAACCTGCTGAATCTTACGTTGACTTGCCTCTCCAAGAACCCGCTTGACCATCTTTAAGGAACACGGCTTAATTAAAGTTTCACCAATCGTGTGGGCCTTCTTCTTCTTTGCTATTTCAATGGAAACCTCATATGATGTCTCAACTACACTTAAGATCGGTTGTTGGAAGGCACCACTCTCATCCACTCTTTGTTTTCCCAAACTCCGTTCATGGCGCTTGAGGAAATCGGTGTCTCTCTCCTTATACTGGGGGGTGGATTGTCGTCAGATGATGCTTCAGCTTACTCGGCTTCATGGTATCGTTCTCCAGCACTTTGAAACACAACACACACTGAGGTTTCTCGATGCCATCAGCGAGGATTGATGTAATTCCGTAGTTAATGTATTCATCATTTACTTCCGCTTCTTAGCAACACTGGCAGCCATCGCAATTCTAAGGAAATTATAAAAAGAACAATGCCAAACAGACAGAAACAGACGAATGATAAAGACTAAAAATTATAATAAAAAACAGAAATATAAGACAATCATGAATCTCTTGGTTTTACTGAAAATTTGTAATCTCTAAATGTTGACTAGTTCTTTAAAAAAACCAGAATGTCACAGAAACAACAAATGATAAAGACTAAAAATTATAATAAAAAACCAAAATGAGAAAATAATTCGAATGGTAAACACACAAACATGCATGAAGTCCATACATACTGTATGTAAACATACATAAAATGCCTATGCAATCATAAGTAAAACATACACATACAGTCCACTCACAGTACACTCACATATTTTCTTAATGATATCTTGAGTCAGACTGAGAACATTCGGTCTGATCACTTGTAAAGCGATGACACACGGACATGCAAAGAATATGTGAGATCAGTGACTCAGTCCAGCGCCCGTCACCCTGCTGACAGGAACTAGAATCGTGCAATCTGAGCGAATCCGTTGGAAATGAAAAACTAGCTGCTGCACCATACTGTGTAAACTGTACCGTACGGGTATTATCATTACACACAATGACAAAAAACAAAAGATAAATAAAAAAATAAAAAGAATTCTCCCCTAACAAGGCAAAGTAACAAAGAAAAAAGTTGAATCACAGTTTCCACATTTTCTCCAAATACTGTGTAAACTGTACCGTACGGGTATTATCATTACACACAATGACAAAAAACAAAAGATAAATAAAAAAATAAAAAGAATTCTCCCCTAACAAGGCAAAGTAACAAAGAAAAAAGTTGAATCACAGTTTCCACATTTTCTCCAAACATATACTACGTACACTAGCCCGACATGGCCCCCTAAATCTTGCCGTGGCCCCTAGGGGGTCATGGCCCCCAGTTTGAGAAACATTGCGAGACTGTATCAATAACTTTTGTCTGGGCCTGTACATCCATAAAATATAAGATGTATGTGTGTGTGTGTGTGTGTGTGTGTGTGTGTGTGTGTGTGTGTAAAGGAAACAACCCTCAATCTCGGACCAAGGATGATACCTTCCGCAAGAAGAAAGCGGCAGCCCAGCGGGAACTTCGCAAACTAAAAAACGACTGATTTAAAAATAAAGCGTGTGAAACACAAAAAAATGCAGATCAGCACAAGAAGCGCGTATTGTTTAATCCATTAAAACATTTTCTGGGCCAATCACTCGTGGCGCAGCCCCCTTCTGTTCATCCGACGGTAACTCCATAATAAAAATCGATGAACTGGAAAGAGCACTGTCATTCACTGCTCAACCGAAACACCGATGTGGATGTCCTGACACCCAACAGGTCCCTCAGCATCCAGAGCTGACCCATCTCAGCTATCCCCCATCCCTGGATGAGGTAGCAACTGCCATCAACAGATAAAAAATAACAAAGCCTTAGGGCCGAGGTGTATAAAGCAGGAGGACCTCTGCTTACCAGCCGTCTTTACTCTCTCCTGGAGAATTTATGTGAAAGGGAGACATTCCCCCAAGCTCTGAAACATGCCTCCATCGTTAATATTTAAAAGAACAAGGGAGACCAATCAGACTGTGGCAACTACCGTGGGATCTCGCTGCTGTCCGTAGCTGGTAAGATTATCGCCCGAGTCCTCCTAAACAGACTTCTTCTTGAGGCGAAAAACTTCCTCCCAAAATCTCAATGTGGCTTTAAATCACCAAGTAGCACCACTGACATGATCTGTGCTGCCCGTCAGATACAGGAAAATTGCAGAGAACAACATCGTGACCTGTACATGGCTTGCATCGACCTTACCAACAGGGAAGCCCTCTGGTGGACCCTCAGCCGTTTTGGCTGACCACCATAAGTCATCCGCATTGTGAGGCAACTCCACGATTGCACGAACGGCAGTGTCCTGCACAAGGGCACCCAGTCAGAGTTCTTCCCCATCTAAACGGGAGTTAAACAACGGTGTGTGCTGGCACCAGCTCTCTTTTCCTTTTTCTTGGCTGTCTTCCTTACTTGTGTCAGCCCCAACTTAGCCGGCGGGGTGGACATCGAGTACAGAATGAAGGGTCTTTTCAACATAAGACGACCCCATGTAAGAACAGAGGTGTCGGCAGCTTCCATTACTAAACTACAGTATGCAGACGACCTCACCCTTGTCGCTCACACTGAACGCGACCTACAGGAGATCCAGAAAACCTGCCCTTAGTTCAGCCACACCTCCACCATCCATGCAGCTTAACAGTACTACCCTCTCTAATGTTACCCACTTTCGATATCTCGGCTCCCATCTGTCCATCACCGCGGACATCGATGAAGTGATTCAGCATCAGATCAGATGTGCATCTCAAGCCTTTAGCAGACTCCGAAACCGTGTCTTCAGCTTTAGGGAGCTGAAATTATGTACAAAGCTACACGTATATCAAGCAGTGGTCCTCCTCACCCTGCTATATGGCAGTGAGACATGGGTTACATACAGGAGGCACATCAAGGCACTTCAAAACTTTTACCAATGTAGTATGCCTTCCATCTTCCGAGTTCGCTGGGAAGACAAGAGAACAAATGCCAGAATTCTTGCTGACACCAACTGTAGAAACATTGAGGCTACCATTATCCATATACAAATACGCTGGACTGGCCATGTTACCCACATGGACAACAGTAGACTGCCAAAGCAGCTACTTTACAGTCACCTAACGAAGAGTAATCGTAACGCTGGCGGACAACTGAAAAGATATAAGGATAGTCTTAAGACAAACCTGGTAATCGACCTCCTCACCTGGGAGACGATTACTCCACACCGTAACGCTTGGAGGACCACCACACAAGAAGGGGTCAATACTTTCAAATTAGCCTGACTGCATAACGAGGCAGACAAGCGCCAACACCAGAAAGAAGCTGCTGCCGACCTCCTGCATTAGATGTAGACCCCACATGTGCAACATTTGTGATCGACCCTGCCGGTCCTGTATCGGCCTCTTTAGTCACCTCGGATCTCACCAACCTAGGTGTACATCCTTAATAACTCATATCATTGTATCATAGCTGGAGGATCGTCATACTCGATTCCAAGTGACAGCAAAGTTGCAGTATGTAATAATAATAATAATAATAATAATAATTAACGATTATTGAAGAGCACAGCAGTCAAAGGCTGAAAATATACAATGGTAACATTGGGATTACAGTATTAGGTATAGTAGTAGTATTGAGGAGTGGATTACTTACCAAATCTGTCAATACAAAAAGGAGACATAGAGTGAAGATACAGGTTATTATTAATCACTGATAATTTGGTGTTGTGGAGCATTTCATATAGATGTTGAACTTCCCTCTCGGGTAATGTTGTAGAAGATGATATGTGGCTGTAGTATTTCCCTCTCCGTGTGGTATAGTCGGTCCCACACGGTATGGCGAGGGCTCTCTCACAACGAGGGTCCTATCATAGCACTGGAGTGTTATTTAAGCAAATGCTAACTCCCTCTACCCCTACCCCTCGGATGGTATGGTATTTTATTGACATTTTTACTGTCAATACCTGTATCAATTCTTTACGAGTTGAAAATATCGCTGTACTGTATAAGTATTATAGTGATTTTATCATCAACCCTTGCATTAGTGTCTTGGTGGGGATGGGGGGTTGTGGAGAGGTGGGAAAAGGGGGATTACAGGCAGGGCCACTGAAAGAGCGGGGAAGGATAAATTCCCGGGGCCTGGGCCTCTAGGGGTCCCGGGAAAAGGGATGTAAATATTTAATTAATTTGTAAAGTAGTTAATCGAATTAAACGGAACTCTAAAAATAGGTACATTGAACAAACTGTTTTAGATTTTTGTTTAACATTGTTCAAAGGCTAAATGGGAGCCCCAAAATTCATCTTTCCCCGAGGCCCTGGCAAGCTCTCGGCAGCCCTCGTTACCGGTAACCCCCTGGCCAAGACCATAGAAGAGGAGGTTAACATAAGCGCAGGTGGGTGGAGCTTTGCTGACTTCATCAAGTGGATTCCGGCGCTCCCTCCACTACTTCCCACCCCGTATAAACAGAACATTTTATTTTCCCATATACTGCACTGTATTATCTCAGTATTTCACTTAGAAAATAATACTAGTAGAGTGTCAAATCTTGCATAAAACTTTACCTAAGGACACAGAATGTACATATATATGCAGTACCAGAGAAGGGAAGGTTAAAAGAAAAGCAATGCATTTCAGTTCTAGTTATGTAATTAGATAAGTGCAGTTTACGAAAGGTAAATTATAACTATATGTACACTAACGCGCCATAGTTTCCATGCACCCTCTACCCCTACTCCTGGCTCGAGGGAAGTCGTAGTAGGGCTGCAAACCGAACGGTCCCTCTTGTATAGTGATGTTAAGTATAGTAATGGTAAATAAAGCGTTGTGAAGTCACTAAAAAACCTGTATCGTGCATATATTCTCTCAAATATTACATCATGAACTGCTATTCGTACAATCCAGCGAAGCTTCGAGCTACCACATTACGCCACTGAACGATGAGTGGGAGGGGGGGGGGGGGGGGGGAAGACGTTCGGTATGAAGCCAAGGCTACGACTTCCATTTAGTCAGGAGTAGGGGTAGACGGTGCATGGAAACTATGGCGCGTGAGTGTACAGTTACCCACAGAAGATCCTTACCTCCCAGTTGTACTAAATCTATTAATAAAGTGGGTATAAGGTAACAGGCGTTATGATGACATCACATCACAAGGGCTACCTTCACTAACACTTGTTATCAAAAGATAAAACACCTAGACGTTCACGGTCATCCATAGACTCACATTTATGGTACATCAGACAAGTAGCGATACGCTTTCGGGCTTACTGTACTGTAAGCTGCGAAGGGTCGTGCTCGACTGATATCCACCTCAGATCAGTATATTACAGAAATACCAGTCGAGAAAAAATTTACTTGAACGGAAGAAAAAATAACTACTGAGAATATCTTTATTGCCCTTTTCGCATAATATTTTGCATTATACCACTGCGTCATGAGACTCATGACCTTTGACACCACCTTATTGCAAATCGACTTTCTACCAGATTACTTCGAGAGACTTGCAGATATTACCCCGACAGACCATCAAAATACGTAGCATGAATATAGGTGTCTTAAGGTATTCGAACCCATAAAGCAGTACGGCATTCCGTTTACGATAACGTTACCGTGTATATAATGTAATATTATCAGTGTTATTAATATTTCGCCTATTGATTCACATACTTTTATAAAAGTCACACTTTGTCTAACTGTTATGAAGCGTGTCTCGAGTATTGTTTCATTGATATTCCTATTTATGAAACTGTTTCGAGTTTTGGACTCTGTTAAAAAAAACTGAAAACTAGTGGGAGTAAAGTGCAAAAAGGGGTAGCAACAGTAGCCTTAATAACAACATTTTCTATCTGCCCACGCAAATATATCCACTCCTTCTCCCACCCTCTTTATTTTCAGTGATAAGAGCATCAGAACTGGTCTCTGTTCCTCAGGTTCTTTCTCTGACAGTACATCAGGTACCCATGTATAATCAATTTCTTGCACAGTCCTCTTTTGGCTCTCAGCACGTATGTTTATGATGACAACCTCTGACTTGTCTGCAACCATTAATGTTCCTATGACAGATAGGGAACAGATTAATTGAGAGAGAGAGAGAGAGAGAGAGAGAGAGAGAGAGAGAGAGAGAATTATAAATATACTGTATATACAAGATACAAGTACAATTGTCTACAGCAGCGCTTCTCAAACTATCTGATGTGGCGGACCGGCATGGTTTTTTTCAATGTGCCACGGACCGGCCAGCGAAGCGAGCCAATCCCGGGGCCTATAGGCCCCCCCCCCCTCCCCCCAGGAAAATCTTTTGATATATGTCCTATTTCAGGGGCATTTTGAGACTAACTGTACTAAACATGAAGACATGATGTCTTATTCATTCTAAGGCCAATCATCATTGACGTAACAAGTCTTCCCAGTGTGCCAGGGACCAGTACCTTATTTGTGCCATACAATTAATTGTTTACGATCAGAGAAAATATTATTTGAACATTCGTAGTAATATTATTTTATACAGGAAAAATATAATGAATATAAAAGTGGGTTGGGATGGGGTCACAAATGACAAACACGCAGATACCCGTATGATGCTCTCTGTTCCACTTCTTGATGGTAACTAACCACTGACCTGCGACCTGACATCGCAGACTGCTGATCCACACGTGTGGAATAGCAGGGTTGCCAGCTGTGTGACACCCTTCACGGCTGGCACGCATAGTAAAAAATCGGCCATTTCTTTTAATGGGATGCATACATTTATTTTATCCGAAATTAAATAACTACCATACGTATTTCAGTTCGCTGTTTTGCTGTTCATTATATCGCATTCGTTAGTTGCATAGCAATGACTTTTAACATGAGTGAGTAAATGAAAAATATAGCCATAATAAATATAAAAACTACAATGAAAATGTAAAAAAAAAAAGACCGAGTCAGATGTCCCGGCAGTGTCACGTGGTGTGGAACGTGACTATCGTTTCTTTCTTTTCTGAAAACTCTCCGCGTACCGGCAGACGATGGCTCACGGACCGGCACCGGTCCGCGGACCACACCTTTGAGTAGCACTGTCTACAGGATATTCTTTCATCCCTGTTGTGACCAAGTCCCAGGTTGGTGATCTGACTTTCTGCCTCATTTAAAACCCAATTGCAGGTCTCAATTGTTTCTCTTATCTTGACAACACAACATACATTTATCGTTTCTCACTCATGATTTTGTGTAATTTTTGTATTTATTTATTATTATTATTATTATTATTATTATTATTATTATTATTATTATTATTATTATTATTATTATTATTATTATTATTATTATTATTATTATTATTATGTATAGTAGTAGTAGTAGTAGTAGTAGTAGTAGTAGCTCTTGGTCCATAGTGTATCATTCTGACGTATGGATGGTCGCCCTTGGGGGGGGGAGGGGTAGCCTGGATACCCACGCGCGCACGTATGCCCCTACTACCAGGACACAGCAGTCCAGCCTGTCACCTCTCCGCCCTTCCCTCATAAGAACCAGTATTATCTTGTGCCTGGGACTAAATCAGATGTTCGGAGGCGGACGTAACTGTCGCGCAAGGTGCTGTTCACTATGCCTGGCAACAATCATTGCTGCGTCTGTGCTAACCCGAACCAAAACTGCACAAATTGTGTTTGTGCGAGAAACAACCGACCATGTGTGTATTGCAAGAGGCGAGACCAGTGTCGGAACCCACGCCGCAGGGAGCCGACACAGGTGGCCACAGTGGATATCGCCGGGACCCAACTACCCGATGATATCCGAAATGATAGCAGTGAGTCTACTCAACCCGAAAATGTAGTACTAACAAATGCTGCTCCCTTAGTAGCAGGTGTCCACGGGGAGAATATGAGACAGCCACCTCAGTGGAATGGCATGTCGATGGAAAATACAGACATATGGGTCAAATAAACCTACTCAGAAATTGTCAAGTGGTCGCCCGCTAACTTATTGAACCACCCAAGTGTGCGGCCACCAAAGAAATGATTCGGGAGATGACTCGCTTCATGATTGATTACACTCAGGACCGCTTCCTCGCCCCCCTAGCTCTTCAAATACTGGCAATAATACCACATCTATTTTGTCAGAGGACACACACAAAGGCTAAGCACAAAGAAAATGTGGCAGCAATGAAGAGAAGATTGACAATGTGGCAGTCTGGGGCCCTAGTTGATCTCCTATGTGAAGCAAGAACACTGCAGGAGAGACTAAAAATTATGGGTGACGGAAAGCAAAACACCGATGACATAGCAAGAAAATTTGGAAACAAAATGCGTGTGGGAAAAGTGTTTCTTGCGGTAAGATCTCTCACAGAGGAATCCTCCGGTGGGGTGATGCCAATAAACAGAGAGACATTAAAACTATTGAAAGAGAAACATCACCCTGCAAGCGAAGACGAAGTCATCAGGTTCCAGGGTGACTATATCCCACCAAATGCTGTCCTGTTCGAGAAAATAACAGGAGAGATGGTGTGGAAAAAGGCACTGAAGACTCGAGGAGGAGCCGGCCCTTCAGGTCTGGATGCAAACGGTTGGAGAGTCATCCTCAGTACAAACAAGTTTGGCCCTGTAGCAAGTGATCTCTGCACTGCCATTGCCGCCCTTGCAAGAAAGCTTGCATCCTCTTGCTGCTATCACCTCCAGGCCCTGACAGCCTGCCGCCTTATTCCTCTGGAAAAGAAACCAGGATGTAGACCTATAGGGGTGGGGGAAGTGCTGAGGCGGATCATCGGAAAATGCATAATGGAGGTGGTAAAGGAGGATGTCAGGGCAGCAGAAGGGAACCTACAAGTGTGTGCTGGCCATCAGGCTGGTGGGGAGGCTGCCATTCACGCCATGAGATTCATATTTGAGCAGCGTGATTGTGAGACCGTTCTCCTGGTGGATGCTTCAAACGCATTCAACATATTTAACCGCAAGGGTGCACTGCACAACATCAAGATCAAGTGTCCAAGCTTTGCGATGTATGTTGAAAATTCGTATAGGAATCCATCAGACCTCTACATAGTAAACAACAAGGATCTAAGAGGTGATACCATCTTACAGTCGACCGAGGGAACAACACAGGGGGACCCTGTTGCAATGGCAATGTATGCAATTGGCCTATCAGTGCTCCAAAAAGAAATAAAATTTGAAACAACTGGGGTCAAACAAGTGGCATATGCTGATGACCTTACAGGAGCAGGAAAAGTGGAGGGCATCAAAAAGTGATGGGACTTGGCAACATCGCGAGGTCCACAAATAGGGTACCACCCAAACGCCATGAAGTCCTTCCTCAACGTGAAGACAGAACATTATGAACAGGCATTGGAGGTTTTTGGCGGAAGTGAGGTAAAAAAAACTAAGGACGGCCAAAGACATCTAGGGGCAGTAATTGGCACTGCAGACTTCAAGACAGAGTACGTAGCGGGAAAGGTGAATGAGTGGGTTAGTGAAATCCAAGCTCTGTCTGAGATTACTAACACAGAGCCACATGCGGCCTTTGCTGCATTCACCCATGGAATCAAGCATCGCTGGAACTACCTGATGTGTACTATCCCTGATATCGGACCCCTCCTCCACCCTCTGGAAGAAACTATCAGTGTCAAGTTCATTCCCAAATTAGTGAAACACCCTGACTTAACCCCAGCAGAAAGAGCATTTCTTGCACTTTCACCAAGACTGGGAGGGATGGGACTAACAAATGCAGAGAACATTGCTGCCACTGAACATCAAAATTCACTTAAGCTCACGGCAGCCCTCACGGACCACATTATAGCCCAGAATGCAACAGGGGAAGTGGATACCAGCGAAGTAAATAAGATTTGTAGGTCCATTACGACAGATCGACAGCACTGCCAAAATGATAAGTTGCAGCAACTATTGCTGCAGGTCCCAGAAAATTTGCAAAAAAAAGTAGCTATAGCGCAGGAGGTGGGCGCCTCAAACTGGTTAACTACGTTACCGATAAGGGCAAATGGTTTCAGTCTTAATAAACAAGAATTTACAGATGCCATTGCTCTAAGGTACGGTTGGCCAGTAGAAGGTTTGCCCTCCCAATGCGTGTGTGGCTCTTCCTATGATGGCGATCACGCCATGGTCTGCAAGAAGGGGGGCTTCATATGCATGAGGCATGACGAGGTAGGGGATCTCACAACAAATATGTTGAAGGAAATCTGCCGGGACATCATGGTAGAACCGACCCTCCTTCCATTGGATGGCGAGATCTTCCAACACAGGACTTCAAACACATCTAACGAAGCCCGCGTGGACGTCAGTGCTCGAGGATTCTGGACGCGGGGACAGCGAGCTTTCTTTGACATCAGGAATTTTGATCCCATGGCCGCATGTCACCGTAACCTAGCTCTCGATGCTGCACATAGGAGGAACGAGAACGACAACAGAAGGTCATATGGGGAGAGAATTCAAAACGTTGATCAAGGCAGCTTCACTCCTCTAGTGTTCACAACCTCTGGTGGGATGGGCCCAAGTGCAAGATGTTTCTACGCCAGACTCGCGGAGTTGATCTCCGAACAGAAGCAGCAGCCCACAAGTTATGTTACAGCCTGAATGAGATGTCGACTGTCTTTCTCTCTCCTCACGGTCGGATTTGCTTTGCCTCAGGGGAACGAGAGCTTCTGCCCCTACTCCGACAACTGCTGCAGATATTGACTATGAGGCTACAGTCACTGAATGCCGCATAGATCTGCGGCTCAACTAATTTAACACAGATAGGATAGCTTCTTATGTATTAGGATATTTAATATTAAGGTAAATAAATGGTGGCAAAGGTGTGGCTATTGGGGGAGGCTGGAGGCCACGTTTAAAAAAAAAAAAAGTAGTAGTATTAGTAGTAGTAGTAGTAGTAGTAATTACAGTAATTATTATTATTATTATTATTATTGAGTAGTATTAGTGGTAGTGGTAATTATTGGTAATTAGTAGTGGTATTGGTAGTAGTAGTAGTGGTAGTGAAGTAGTGGTAGTAATTATTAGTAGTATTAGTAGTGGTATTAGTAGTATTAGTAGTAGTAGTAGTATTGGCTTTGCGATGTATGTTGAAAATTCGTATAGGAATCCTTCAGACCTCTACGTAGTAAACAACAAGGCTCTACGAGGTGATACCACCCTACAGTCGACCGAGGGAACAACACAGGGAGACCCCGTTGCAATGGCAATGTATGCAATAGGCCTATCAGTGCTCCAACAAGAAATAAAGTATGAAACAACTGGGGTCAAACAAGTGGCATATGCTGATGACCTCACAGGAGCAGGAAAAGTGGAGGACATCAAAAAGTGGTGGGACCTGGTAACATCGCGAGGTCCACAAATAGGGTACCACCCAAACGCCAGCAAATCCTTCCTCATCGTGAAGCCAGATCATTATGATCGGGCTGTGGAGGTTTTCGGCGAAAGTGAGGTCAAAATAACTAAGGACGGCCAAAGACATCTAGGGCAGTAATTGGCACTACGGACTTCAAGACCCAGTACGTAGGGGGAAAGGTGAACGAGTGGGTTAGCGAAATCCATGCTCTATCGGAGATTGCTAACACAGAGCCACATGCGGCCTTTGCAGCATTCACACATGGAGTCAAGCATCGTTGGAACTACCTGATGCGTACCATCCCTGAGATCCGACCCCTCCTCCACCCTTTGGAGGAGGCAATCAGTGTCAAGTTCATTCCCAAACTAGTGAAACACCACGACTTAACCCCAGT